ACACTTTTCCCAAAGGTGTTTCCATTTCGCGAAATTGATAGCTTAATTTAAAATGGCCCTGACGAATTTGCTTTGTTGTCATTAAAATAGTCTGAAAACGGCTTCCTTTTAGCGCTTTGTCATGGTGGAAGAACCATGAGTTGTTTCACCACAACACTGGTTCCTTTTTGCGGATTTTTTTACGCAAGCGTTGTAAAATGCCTTGATAATACACACGGTACACTGTTTCACATTGAGGCAAGAATTCAAAATGCACAATTCGATTAAAGTCGAAAAAAATAACAGTAAGCATCACTTTGACATTGAATCGAGACTAACCTGCTTTCTTGCCAATTCATTGTAATGATTGGTCTTTGGACTCAACGTCGTAGCCCAGATTCCGTCTTCCGTTATGATACTTTAAATGAATGTTTCATCGTCATTGGATTGTTCAAGGAATTGCCGACAAACATACCCAGATTTTCTTTCTGTTGTTCGGTTATCAAACGAAGAACAAATTTTGCTACATCTCGATGCATTTTCAATTTTTCAGTCAAAATTTAACGGCCTGGCCCAATTGCGATGCTAACCTTTTCTGCAATTCTCACATTAATCAGCGATTTGTACGCACCAGATCTTTCTGAACGTGGGTGTCATCAGTTGAAGGCCTTCTTGGTCGAGAATCATCTTCAGTTTCCATTAAAGTTTTCCCTAGTTGATTGCAAAATTTTATGATACGTTATTGTTCTAGAAAATGGCAAATATCAAAAATTGTCACTAATACGTTACACTGAGATAAATATATCACGAAAACTAAGTGAGATGTCAACAATCCAAGAACATGTGGCTACAAAGGAGGTTATGCGCAACGCAATGCTACCAACTGCATATTACTAAATAATTCCATTAGCGCGTAATTCAAAAAGTTTGGTTCTCTTCTGAACAGAGCTCGTACACCATGTGCACCAAAGAAATCGTTTTTCGAAACGTTTCTGTGAATTATCTAATGAAACCGATAGAAAAAGCTAAAAATGTTATTACAAAAAATGTTTCTCAGATGTTGTGTAGTACATGTTTAGTGTCACGTTATTTTAGGTCCAAATTAGAACATATTCTAACTAAATTTATTATGTAAATCAAAACGTTGACGGTGAAGCAGAACGATAGATACTAAATAAATATATTAACACGTGAGACTAACATTTTTATTTATTTTAAATATTATTTGTAATACCAGATATTGGGAGAATCTAGTTTTATGCGGATAAAATTATGCACGCTTCACTGCTACATAATTAACGCATTTCTGACACCGTATCAAATTTTTGTGACCTACTAAGCTACACTGAGTCATAACATCAATGAACAAAACGGATTCAATTCGAAAATCAGTACGATTGAAATAATATTTTCAAAATATAACTTGAAGCTTTCAAAGTTAAACCATTAAGACACATTTGGGTAATTACAAACTTTATTGTTTCAAGATACTCCATTTCTCCCACTTTAGTAGTATCTAGAGTTTAATCCTGATTTTCTATGTTAAACAGAGGATTTCTGTAAATTGACCGATTTCTACTGGCTCATATATTTCACGTGTTATAAGAGATACCAAAAGAGAAAAATATTTAAGTTAAGTTTTTTCTTAATTCCATATTTTTGAAGAAATACTACTGAAATTTGTTATTTTGAATTAAATAACCTGAGTATTTTTACTTATTTATTTCTTTTTCCTTTCCAATAAGATAATTTGTATAAAAATTGTGTTTTTCGTATGTATTACTGCAAGCAATATTACCGAAAAGTATACATATCCAAGAAATTTTCGGAATAGATACTCATTAGCAATGTTAAAAATTCATATATCTTCTATTGAAATTTATAAAGTTAGTACTAATAATATTAATTATTAATAGTATTAAATTTAACTGTAAACTAAAATTGTCAACGCCTCTTATAGTATTTACGAATTTTGTGCTTTTCTGTGATATATAAGAAACACAGTTTTTATGTAGACTACAATACATTATTAGAAAGGTTATAAGAAAGAGGATCGATGCCGTACAAATACATAAATGATGTTCCATTAAAAATATCAAACTTCATTTCTTAGTAAATATGAAACAAAACAATTGAGTACGCCACTGTAATCCGCGAAAAAATTTATATAAATCGTTTGTCCTCATATGGGTCAAATTTGAGAAATTGGCCAAATTTGATCCCTCTGTATATCAAAAATCAAACAAGCAAAAAGAACATGGATACCTATAATCACTTTCTAGTCTGTATCCTGCATTTTTTTTCAAATTGGGCCTCCCTATACAAAATGCAAAATTTAATGTTTAAAATGGTGTGTTATAATTTGTTTATTTAATTCCTAACGTATATTTTTTGATAGAAAAAATATTATGTGCAACTTATACAGGGTGGTCCGAATTTTATGCAGGAAATTTCGAGGGCAGATAGATCTCTTTAAAATAATAGGTGTGTGCCTTATAAACATAGGTCTGGAACGGCCTCGTTTTAGAGATACAGGGTGTTGAAGTTGTTAAAAAAAATTTATTTTTTATTTATATCCCCGGAATCTATTAACCTATTTCAATAAAATTTGGTACAGACAATGTATAACAGTAGGCCTTGCATTTCTTAAAATATGAGCTCTAAAGATTCAACCAGTGGTGTACAACTGGACAGGGGTCGCCTTCTTTTTATAAAAAAACTACGCTACTGTATTTTTAACAAGTTACTGTAACGGATTTGTATTCTAATGCACAAAATACGTAAAAAAGGTAACTTGAATTTTTTCCCTAAGATCCGCCGTCCTCAAGTTATTCATACCAATACAATCCCTTAAGGCAGACATTTCAAAACATAATATTAGAAGAATATTTATGTTTATGCTTAAAACTAAGGGCAATTTGTAAGCAGATCAATACAATTATTTCCATATCACCTGTAAGGTAGTATTCCTAGTGTGTTTTAGTTTCCCCTGGAAGCTGAATCCACTATCTTTACAAATAAGAGCAATTTAAATCAAAATAATAATAAAAATACATTTACCAAGCAACAACAATTAAACAAGAACGAAATTAACGTTACGTATTTACAGCAATTGTTTAAAATGCGAACCATCCACATCGATACATTTCTGACAACTTCTATTAATGATTAATGGAATTACCTTACTAATATCATGTGGTGGTTTTATTTTAATTCATTACACCCGTCTTCTATTCGCTGCAGTAGTTGTGGTGTTGTATCTATTGGAGTAGAGTAAACTTTACTTTTCAGATAGGTAACCCCAAAAATAGAAGTGCAGGGGGTTTAGATCTGGCGATCTGGCTGGCCAAGACACTGGATTCTCTGCACCATTATGGTTGATATTGGCATTTGGTCTTCAACATATCCATCGCCCCATATAATTTTTAAGCCATTCTTGTATTATTCTCCTAAAATGCGCAGGCGCACCATCCATTTGTATCCAGCTATTTTGTGGTATATTTAATGGAACATCCTCTAATAATTCAAATAGTTTTCTAGAAAGTTTAGAAATGACTGGGAATTCAGATGGGGTGACAAGAAGAAAGGTCCGAATTATTCCGAGCCACATTTTCACAGAAAATTCGTGTTCAAAAGATCTTGTCCGAATTTCATGAGGATTTTCTTATGACCAAATATTGTGAAAATTCACTACCCCTCGCCTTGTGAACGTAGCCTCATCGGTCCAACAAGGGAATTGTATTGGTATGAATAACTTGAGAACGGTGAATTTTAGGGAAAAAATTCAAGTTACCTTTTTTACGTATTTTGTACATTAGAATAAAAATCCGTTACAATAGCTTGTAAAAAATACAGTGGCGTAGTTTTTTTTTTATAAAAAAGGGGGTGACACTGTCCAGTTGTACACTACTGGTCGATCCTTTAGCACTTATATTTTAAGGAATGCAAGGCCTACTGTCATACATTATCTGCACCAAATTTTATTGAGATCGGTTAATAGATTCCGGAGATAAAAACAAAAAATAATTTTTTTTAACAACTTCAACACCCTGTATCTCTAAAACGAGGCCGTTCCAGAACTATATTTATAAGGCAAACACCTATTATTTTACGGAGATCTATCTGTCCTCGAGGTTTGCTGTATAAAATTCGGACCACCCTGTATACTCAGTGTTTCATAGTAATGGGTCACAAATCCATTCCAGATATTAAAAGTTTACAAGTTGGTTAAAATAACCGTAGTCCAAAAGTTGATATTAGGTGGTCTTATATCAAAAATTTTGTAGGCAACTTTAACAGTTGCTTATATATCGATTTCAAATTTCGTACGAAAGTATTTTGGTGGGTACAGAAGTTAAATCAGGTATCATATCATTTTTGAGTTATTTTATAGGGGGCGGCACATATAATATCTTTCTGTAAAACAAAATATTACTACCTGTTACATAACACTATTTACATAACATTATTTACATGCATAACACTAGAGAAAATTATTTTCTAAAAGATCATAATTTATAAATTTTTACTGCAAATTGTCATACCTTGTAGAAATCTACATCTTTAATCATTTCCCAGACTTGTATTTTAAAAAATCGATATCGATTATTTTTTACTGAGTGTTAGGTAAAAAATGTTATATCAATCTTTTTTACATCAAAAATGTCAAATGCTACCTCTAATAAGATAATTCATTATTTGTTGAAACCGATATTTCAATAACTACAAATGTTATTAAAAATTTTCTTAGAAAAATATTTTCCTCAATACATTGTAGGTATCTATCTCGATATAAACTTTTGGACTATGATAATCTTGGCCAATTCGAATGGTATCATGATGTTCATAATTTTTCCTCTGAAACACTCATGGCACAGAAATATTTTTACGTGACATATTTTTCATAAGTAACTATTTATTGCGGTTACCTATGATATTTTACTTGTTGCAGACGTTGATGTCGGACATAGTTACTATGATGTACAAAATGTTTTGAAACTCAAAATTCTTTTTTATTTCAGGTAGATCTATAGAAGACTTAAACGAGCGTGTGAAAATAGGAGCCTGCAACAAACCTCCATGTAGATTGAGAAAGGATTCAGTCGTCGGTATTACTTTAAAGTTCAAACCAGGTAAAATACTGCGCGAAAGTTTATTTATGTGAATGTTAAGGTACTGAGTGAAAGAGAGTATTGGATCCACTTTTTACATGCACGCAGTGGAGAGGTTTTTGCCATTTTTTCAGACAATTTACCTACATTACAAAATACATTTCACAGAACAATCACATACGCAAAATTTAATTTAGTTCAAATACGTTAATATTTACAAATGTATAAGAATATACAGGGTTCCCCATATTAGACTATGCAGTTTAAAAGTCGAATAAAAACTTTCTGATCAAAGTAAATTAACTTTTTAATGGACTAATATGTAGCTAATTTTATGGGATTTATAACGAAAATAAATAATAAGTCAATTTTTAAAGATCATGTCTTCCAAATGCCCTCCTTCGACTTCAATGCAATTTTGAATTCTAAGTTCAAAATTTTGCATCACTCGACGCAGCAAATCTCCATTTATTTCTGCAATTTTATTTTGAATCTGCTCTTTCAACTCCAGAATTGTTGCTGGACGACTTGCATAAACTTTTTGCTTCAGGTATCCCCAGAGAAAAAAATCTGGGGCCGTTAAATCGGGAGATCTCGGGGGCCAATTCAAATTTCCAAATCGGGAAATTATACGGCCATCAAAAAAATCTCGCAAAATCCTCATAGTGTTTCTGGCTGTGTGAGCTGTAGCTCCATCTTGTTGGAATAATATGGCACCATTTAGTAGTCCCCGTCTAGTTAGTTCGGGGATAAGAAACGTTTGCAACATGTTTATGTAGCGCTCGGAATTAACTGTAACAGGACGGTTATTTTCATCCTCAAAAAAATAAGGACCGATAATTCCAAATGATGCTACACCACACCACACAACGACTTTTAGACTGTGGAGGTTTTTGGTAAACAGTTCGTGAGGATTTTCTGCTCCCCAGTACCTAAAGTTTTGCTTGTTAACAACACCGTCCAAATGAAAATTTGCTTCGTCGCTCATTAGCAAATTATGTATTCCTCCATGGTGCTGATTTAAAAATTCTTGACAAAATGTCAACCTCGCTTCTTTATCTGTATCACTGAGGTGATGCGCCATTTGGTATTTATAGGGGTGAAATTTTAAATCTTTATGCAGAATTCTGTGGAGACTTCCCTTGGATATTCCTAGGGCAAGTGATTGCCGATTAGCAGATCTCTTAGGGCTTCTTGTGAAGGCAGCTCTCACTCGTTCAATATTTGCAGGCGTACGCACCGTTCTTCGACGTCCAGGTTTTTTAATGTTTTGCACAGAGCCATTTTCACGCCAATGACGAACCCATGCCGAAATTGTAACGCGTGTTGGTGCATCGCCCCTATTATTATTTCCAAACTGCCGTCGAAATGCACGCCGAACTTCTTCCACTGAACCAGTTCTAATGTAGACTTCCACGGAAAACACACGCTCTTGAATTGAATAATTCATAACGCAATGAAAATTGTTAAAAAATGAAAATTAAATTAAGTTGTGACATTTGTGACTAAAACAATGAAGTGTTTACTTTTGTCGTTGCTTAGAGACAGGCGCCTACTTGTTAAAATGTGATCCTAATGGTGTAGCATCATTTGGTAATATTGGTTTGATTTGCTTCGTCGAGTAATGCGAAATTTTAAACTTAGAATTCAAAATTGCATTGAAGTCGAAGGAGGGCATTTGGAAGATATGATCTTTAAAAATTGAATTATTATTTATTTCAGTCATAAATCCCATAAAATTAGCTACATGTCAGTCCATTAAAAAGTTAATTTACTTTGATCAGAAAGTTTTTATTCGACTTTTAAACTGCATAGTCTAATATGGGGAACCCTGTATAAAGGAGAAGTCCGGGAAGCAGCGACACTATTGATGTAATTATTCCTACAAAGCTCATTTCTCATTTTGTTGTTTTGATATAACAAGGAAACGGAACGGCAATCTATCGCGCCAATGTGGGGGCAAACATTAATAACAATTTTTAAAACATAAATAAATAAATAATATGTCTTATACCTACAAGTGTGAAACTTGTTAGAGTGATCAATTATCCCTAAAAGTACAGTATAATGTATAATCAAGGGTCTACCACTAACGGAAGGTGTTAAAAAAATTAACTTTTTTGACTTATTTCCACAAGGCTAAAATTTTTTTCTCAAATACTTTAATTTATAAGGGAACTAAAGAAAACAGTCTATTGATCATCTAAGGGTGTAAAGCCTTGATAAATGCAATGGAATGTACGATCTCCAGTCGTTACACCGATCCGCTGTAAGTCGCTCATACCGGGATCAAATTAAAATCTACAAAGTTGCTTTTTTGTCTATAGGTAGTTTACAATAGTTATTTTCAATAAACGTCTTCTATCTTCGATACAAGGTGGCTAAAGCTTTGGTAAACGTGGCTAAAGTTTTTGCGCGGGAAATTTATTGAAGAACTGTTGCCTTCAAACTGTGGCAATATTAAGGAGATACAATATTTATTATAAGCAGCTGCAATACATTAATTTCATAATTATTTAATATTAAATTCCATATTTGTATTTGTAAAATGTATTGTTGTATGTTTTTTAAAATTAAATAATAAATTAATGTCGGTGACTTTATTAATTTTAAACAATTTTAAAGTAAACTGAATGACGAAATGTACAGTAATTCGGGCTCGGTGAACATTGGTTGGCTATTCAAAAGGCGAGCCAATATCCTTGGCTAGATATATGATCTCGGATGGAGTGGGGTCCAGCGGGATTATAGCTCTTTACTTACCCACTTCTTTCACTGTAAGCCTGGACACCTCGTAAATATAGGCCATTTCCCCGTCATCTCGGACCGCCGATTAGTTCATGGGGACTTTTCCTGTCCTGTCTGGGCCCAGCCGGAAAGGGCCCTTTCTTCTGGCGCTCCTCTTTCTTCGTCGGCTCATCTGAGTAAACCCCCGGGAGGTGTCGTGTGCGGGAGAGGTCACGCACCTGTGCAGCTTAGGAAGCGCTGTGTTATGGTGGCCATTAAACTAACGCGGGAAGGGAGAGGAGTAAGAAAAGTAGGGAGGAGGATGTGTGTATTTTCGGTTCTTGATCCTGGCGGTCCTGAAACAGACAGAAAAATTTCGACTCACCCTGCGTCCAGGAGTTGATGTCTAGGCCGCCTGCATCTGCCGGCAGCCTCTGCGGATCAACGGGTTGCTGTGTTTGATCACTTTCAGAGTATTTAAAAGATTGCTCCTGCTCCTTAAATATTAGAGATGTCGAAAAAGTATCAATTCGTTACATGAGTACTCGTTACTCGATTGGATCCGAAGTAACAATTACTCGTTTGAAAAAGTATTCGTTACTTTTGCTTATTTGATTAGTTCTTGGATATAGACAATATAGAGTACTTTATCTAATGGAATATGGATACTTATGCAATGCTCACTTGACACTTATTCATATTTGATTTGTCAGTGCTGCGAGAAACAACTACTCCGAGAGTTATTTGCCCCTACCGGCATTGAATTATACTCGCAACACCTAGTGCAACAGCTAGGATCATTTGTCAGTTTACCCACCAGGTACAGACCGGTTTCGGACTTATTAGTCCTCATCAGTGTGTCGTAGGTGCGACAACCGACAAACGACCCAGCTGTTCTTCGTCGTATCATCACGAAGAGGGAATACATTGTACGCGGGAGTTAGCAGGTCGCTTCCTACTGTAGCCATTTGAATGGCACAGTTGGGAGTCTGCACGACAGATGGAGCCATTGGCTCCCGCGTACAACTTATTCATATTATATCGACACGAAACGAGTACTTGTATTATTACGTTGCATTCAATTTTATTTGTTTTGTGTATCATATTTTTATACCTACTTATATTTGAAAAAATCTCTCATATAAAAGACTTAAAACATGCATAAGAGTGTGTATATAATATATAATCTAAAAAATATGTACTTTCTATTTTTGTTTATTTTCGAAATATATATTTATATTCGTAATCTGATCGTTTGCATTAGAATTATTTTTTTATCAAACATACCTTAATATTTCAGATATCACTGCATTTCTTTTTTAAGGGGAATTTAGGTTAGATTATATTCATAATATGATGCGCTTTGATATTTACTCGTCTATAACTTACAGTACTGTATATCAATTAGGTAATTACTGAGTACTATTCTATATAGAATATTTTGAAGTCACTACTCATAGTAATCAAAGTAACGAATACAAAGTACCGATTACTTAAACCGAAAGTAATCGGTACTCATGATTACTCATAAGTAATCATATTTGACATCTCTACTAAATATGTTTGCCTCGGCTGTGGCCTTTCCGGGGTTTCATCCCCTCTTGATCTTTACGCATCGAATTTATAGCAGTGCCAGCCGGTGTTGCCAACACCATATATTTGATACTAAATCTAGTCCCATTTAGTATTGAAACTTTGAATTTGATCTATAGTATTTAGTATTTTTACTTTTAAACTAGTATATGTTCTAGTATTTCCTCGTTATCTTATTATCGAAAATCATGAAAATTCTGGCACAATCCTGATCGTAAAGAATTATTAGCAAAACAAATGTTAACTTGCCAGTTGTAATTTGATCTCCTTTTAAAGTTCCTTGGCGTTCTGTTCTTCTATCTGGGATTGTTCTATATTCCTTTCCGTTATGTCACCAGGTCATCATTTCCTTACTTTTATATCGGTTTTAAGGTTAATCGTTTTACCAGTTAAATCTAAATCTTTAAAAAAACGCAAATCGCACTACCATTAGTGAATTGTTCTAAATTGGTAAACAAAAAGGCAGAATGTTATCTATTTGTTTTTTCTTAGTTATTGATAATTTTTTTCTTAGTGCTTCGTAGTATCTTCGGAACACTTCAAGTTAACTCCGCTATTTCAAGTTTGTTCCAATTTTATTGTAAATTACCAGGTTTTAGCGGATTCTGCTTTTTCCGTACCAGTTGGTATTTACTGTTAATCCAAAGTCGAGATAAATTACAAGCAAAAGAGAAATAAATTTAATTATTCAACATCAAAAAAGAAAAAGGTCAGTTATTTGTAAAAAAATGTATTTTCAACTTTTACTAATAGTATTGTAGCAAAAATCTCGCTCGCTAACGCTAGCTCGTTATTACTAATATCGAACGTTTTAATAGCTCAAAAAACTATAATTATTTGAATTAGGAATTTTAAACAACCTCACGCGCAAAAATTTTAGTCACGTCTACCGAAACTTTAGCCAATTTGTATCGAAGGTAGAAAACATTTGACAATAATTATCGTAAACTATTTATAAACAAAAAGCAACTTTGTAGATTTTAATTTGATCCTGGTATGAGCGACTACAGCGGATCGGTGTAACGACTGCGCTCGGGAGATCGTGCATTCCATTACATTTATCAAGGCTTTACAGCCTTAGATGATCGGTAGACTGTTTTCTTTGGTTCTCTTATAAAGTATTTGAGAAAAAAATAGCCTTGTAGAAATAAGTCAAAAATGTTGATTTTTTTAACACCTTCCGTGTGTGGTAGACTATCATTATACTGTATTTTTAGGTATAATTGATCGCTCCAAAAAGTTTCACACTTGTAGGTATAAGACATTTACGTATTACCTATTTACATGTTTCAAAAATGGTTATTAATGTTTGCCCCCACATGGGCGCGGTAGACTACCGTTCCGTTTACTTGCGATATCAAAACAACAAAATGAGAAAAAATCAGCTTTGTAGGAATTGATGCAAAATTTCTGTCGCTGCCTCCCGGACTATTAGTTCCAGCCGTTGGACGATAAAATAAGTTTGATTGACGAAATGCTTTAAAATTTGAATGCAGTCAACATTGCCGTTATAAATAAGTCATCATTAATATGAGATTTTGTGACAATCATCTAAATAATTTACTGAGAAACGAGACGAGATAAAAATTTAATTCGAACAGGGTAAACACCATCTGTTTTAAAAACAATGAATTTTAAAGAAACTGTATTGCTAAAAGTTGGCTAGGAACGAACAACGTTTTTAAGCATATAGTCATGAGTAATCAAATGTTGTTTAATTGATATTGACGGGATATTAAAACTGGTAGTATTTGAATGTCAATTTATTTCTAATAATTCTAATAATAGTTAAATAATTCCTTTCGTTTTGAAATTTTGCAAAATATGTTTAAATTGTCTGAGTAAATAATCACAGTAAGATCTACTACAGTAAATGAATTACCCTAAATTGGACCCTTGAAGAACTCCTAAATTGATGTACCAACCACAAAATAATACTTTCTGATAAGAATTAAAGAGCTGTACACAATAATTGGAGAGGTCAAAGTTCAGTGATATTTTAAGTAAAATATGTGATCCATTTTTTAGATGCTTTGGAAGACAGAAAAAAAGGGAAAAAAGTTTTAGAAAAGTAAATGTAAATGATTTTTGCTCGCAATCTCTGATTTGCCCTTATAGAAACCATATAGGAAAGGAATTATTTGATACTTAACATGTGAAAAAACATTTCCAGATAACAGTACTGCATTTATTTTTACAATGTTGTTGATTATTGGTAATTTGAATGTCATTTTTTTTTTCTTTTTTTTTTATAAACAAAAAAGAGTACCATATTTTGCATTTATTGTAGGCGAATGCATATACATGTATTTAAAAATATTTTAAGCAACACATTTAAGGGCTTTGCAGACACTGGACAATCTCATTATATAAATAATGGAATATATTCGACTTATTTGTCAGTTTACACTTTAATTATTTAAACACAACAGTTGCTTTGATTCAGAAATATTAGGAATATTCGAATAAGGTCTTATTTATACTGAATTCAAAATTAGTCAAAATTGTCTTAGATGGAATCAGAGATGTTACTACATACTTAAAAAAACATTTAAAAATGTTACCTATTTATTATTTCAAGTGCCACCTCCAGTTACACACTATATTGCATTCCCTTAGTCTTGACTATAAATCTTTGACCGCCCTTGATGTTCTCGGGCTAGTCTCTGCGGAGGCGGAGCCGCTACCAGAGACCCTAAGCTCTCTCATGTTCATTTCGGTTCTTGAAGTTGGTTCTAAGGCCGCTACGGACGGATCCGCTTATACAATGGTTGTCAACTAGTCGCATGCAATGCGCTCAAATGTTTCGTTCTTCATTGTTGGCATCTTCTGTCGACAGTCGCGGCCATGAAAATTTTAAAATCACCATGCCTATTTCTTGAAGATTAAAAATTATTTCATTTTGAAAAGCCATAATCCTTGAAAGATTTTCTTGTCCTTTAAAATTTAAATTCCAGACAGCTGTGAGAGAATGAAAATTTGGCATTCCTAAGAGAGCATCTAGTATAATTTTTGTGAGTTTTCTCTATCTTGAATTTAACTTTTCGACGAATTTTTTTTAATTTATCATCTGCGTTTACCGTCTGCTTTGATTTTTAAGTTTTAAATTAAATTTAAATTTAATTTAAAAAATATGAAAGTTAAATGAATTTGACGGATAGTTTTGTCGTAGTCGTATGTACGTTTTCTAATATGAAATGAGAATATGTCCATTCTTTATTATAAGAACTGATAGTACAAGAACAAGATATATTCAGTGTACACTGGGCGCAAAAACATGAATAAGTCGAAAGAGAGACATGTGAAGAGGCAGACAGAAGTTGCTTAAATAAAAAGTCTCTGTAATAAGATGTCCCTTAAGTCATAACTGACAGTCATTACCAAATGTTTCCAAATACTGTAATTTAATTATTAATTACAACTTTTATTCAGAAATATGTTTCTCAAAATTGTCATCAGTAGATATTACATTCTTTAGGATGAATTTGTTTAATATTTATAACTCAAAGTCCTGTCATATTAATTAAATAATAGCTATTTGTTGTTTTTTTGCCATGCTAATGATGCTTCATTAGAAAATACTATCGCTTCATAAACATACAGCTGTAAAATTACGTAAATCGTTAATTATGTTGGAAACCTTTATTTGCAAATTTACTATATTTGAAATAAATCGACTTCTGTTTAAAGTTAAGACCAAAACTTACCAAAAGTAGGTACAAGTAATTGATAACACTAAAGTAGAAATAAAAATAAAAGTAACTAAATCAAGGAATACGAAATGAAATCAATTTTCTTTTTATTATTTCTATGGGTATTTCTCTACAAAATGATTATTTTTTCAGATCACGACATTAAATCACTGGTAAATACCGTGAACGCCAACATTCTCGGAATCCCCTTCCCATTTGCTGGCGTCGATGGTGTAGACGCTTGTAAAAATATTTACAACGAAGATGGTACCACCAAGGTGGGATGCAATATTAAAGCCGGCCAAGAATACCTCTACAAAAGTGAAATTGAAGTCCTGAAAATTTACCCCAGGGTAGGTGGTTTGTTATTTATTTAGAATGAGGGTAATTTCCATTTATTGACTTTTATTTTACATTAACTAGCGACAAATAAATTAATTGAAAAAATTTTAATTCTTAATAATTTAAGTTTTTAAAATAAAATGAAAAATTGTTTACAAGATCAGCCTGTTAAAACTTCCCAAGCCTGTATCTCCTATAATTGTTAATATATTCTAATAATCGAGGTAGATATTTTGATGACCTTCTGATGTACCTGTTTAGAGAAACAAGTGATTACAATAAAATACACTATACAAAAATTTATAATGTCTGAACAGGCTATAAAAAGAGCTTTAATTTAATATACAGGGTGGTCCTTAAGTAATTGTACATAGAAGTATGATAGATTTGTAACTTTAAAATATTACGATTTGAGCCAACTTGCCTTAATAAAATATTCATAATAAAAAAGATACAGGGTGTTAAAAGTGAAATTTCAAAATTTGTTTTTCGCAATAACTTGAACGTTTTTGGACATTTATACAAAAAAAATTAACTGGGGGTTTTTTTGGTATGAGAAATCATAATTTGGTATCTAATTTAATGTATCTTTTAGAGGGCGCCACATAAGCCACATGTGTGGCATAAATGTACGCTAAACTTTGTTGCCCATCAAGGTAGCGCTCTTTTGGGAAAAAAAATATTAAAGGCACGGCATTGTAAGAACAAAAATGTATACTTGTTAACAACCTCTAAACTTAACGGTTTTCGAGATAATCGAATTTTAAAAATCGGCAGCATAATTCTTTAATTCATTACGAGAAATAGTAACGTAGTAGACGGAAGTCACGAATGATTTTAACAGCTAAATATTCTTGTTTTCATAATCTATTACGTTTGAAATAGTTTTAATTGAATATTTCAGATAATTAAGGAATAGCAGAAAATGCCGAGACAATAATTTTTCTAATATAGAAATGAAAGATATGGTTACTATTTACTGCCAGCAATATTACAGCGGGCGTGCTGCGAAATGGGAATATTTCAGAAGATATCCAAACAGGCTGCAATCTAATCACCAAACATTTGAAAATCTATTTAGGAATTTAGGCAAAAGTAGTTCATTTCGTCGTAAACGTGATAATTTAGGCCGACCGCGAATCATTACGCCTGATCAAGAAGATGAAATTGGTTGCACGTTCAAGTTAGTACAAGAAGGTTATCTTCAGCTTTAGGAATCAGTAAAACTTCAGTTTTAAAAAGACTAAACCTCGATAAATATCACCCTATCATTTTACGCCTGTGCAAAATTTATTGCCAGCAGATCTACCATTGAGATACCAATTTGCAAGTGATATGCGAAATAGGTAAAATCTTGACCCCACCTACCTTTATTAATAGAATGTTATTTACGGACGAGGCAACATTTAGCCGCCGTGGTATTTTTAATTTAAGAAATAAACATATCTGGGAAATTGAAAGTCCTTATTTTAAAAGAGAAAGACATTTTCAACACGAATTCAAAATAAATGTATGGTGTGGGATCATTAGTGACCATTTTTTAGGGCCATACGATTTTCCGCATACTTTGAATGGTGAGAACTACTTACATTTTTTACAAAATGACCATTGATCTTTTGGAAGAATTGCCACTAAATTTCAGGCAAAATATGTGGATTATACAAGATGGTGCACCTCTTCCCTCAGTATATGAGAGAAGTCAGAACATATTTAAATACCAACTTTCCTGAACGCTGAATTGGTCGTGGTAGTAATTTCCCTTGGCCAGCACTTAGCCCAGACTTTAATCCTCTCGATTTTGGCGTATGGGGCGCAATGAAACAACTTGTTTATAAAAGTCCCAAAAATATTCGCAACCAACTTTGGGAAGAAATAAATGCAACTGCAGTTTCTTTTGGACCAATCATGTTATTTAATATGAGGCCACCTTTTATGGAACGTATGGATAAATGCATCGAAGAGAATGGTGGACATATCGAACACTTACTTTGACATAATTAAACTTGTAATATTAGTTAGCTTAGTTTTTTCTTTTCTTAATATGTGTAAAATTCATTTCTAATTATCATTATTAAACTTATAATTTAACTGCTTTTATTTAACTTTTAAAATTTTTAAACATTTTTAAATTTTTGATGCCAACTCCTACTATTACGTTAATATTCATCCTGTTGATGTAAAAACATGAAAAGCATATACGACTTCTACGTTAATATTTCTCGTAATGAATTAAAGAAGAATTATGCTGCCGATTTTTAAAATTCGATTATCTCGAAAACCGTTAAGTTTAGAGGTTGTTAACAAGTATATATTTTTGTTCTTACAATTCCGTGCCTTTAATATTTTTTTCCCGAAAGAGCGCTACCTTGATGGGCAAAAAGTTTAGCGTACATTTATGCCACACATGTGGCTTATGTGGTGCCCTCTAAAAGATACATTAAATTAGATAACAAATTATGATTTCTCATACCAAAAAACCCCCAGTTAATTTTTTTTTTGTATAAATGTCCAAAAACGTTCAAGTTATTGCGAAAAACAAATTTTGAAATTTCACTTTTAACACCCCGTACCTTTCTTATTATCAATATTTTATTAAGGCAAATTGGCACAAATCGTAATATTTTAAAGTCACAAATCTACCATACTTCTATGTACAATTACTTAAGGACCACCCTGTATAGGCCGATAGTTCTTATTTGGATAAAATTGGATAAGTCTAATAAGATATCTTGCATAAAAATCATCAGATATTTTTTAACATAAGATTTTCTGAGAAAGTGAAATGTTCAGATTTCGATTTTATTATTTTGCCCATTTATCAAATATGTAATCAAATTTATATTGCATCGTTTCGCCTATCATCAACCGTCATAAGTTTAGTTTCTTTTGTTATAAATCCATTAATACTTTCGCGCTTTTGTATTTTGATTTTTTCGATTTATGAAAAAACATACTGAAACATACACAAAATGAAATGATGAAAAAACATACATAACTACTAAAAGTTACTGTTTTTATGGCAATATTCTACTCATACTGCAACCATCATCAGCAGAACTGACTCACAATCAGATCACTATAAGTAGGAAAGAATTGATTTTCGGATCCAAGTACTGTGGAGACTTTTAGCACAGACAAAATAGCTATCGCCACAGACCGCTACTGGAATAGGCCAGCAGTTTTAAATTTCCGAATTGCCGGTAGAGTACACCACCAGCAGAATTTTAGGAGGAATCAAATGCTGCGGCCCGCATACCTACGCGTATCCTAGCAACATATAGACAAGACTTTGGTAATGTTACCAGGCGTACTTACGGATTTCTTCTGTACACTTTTTTTATCAATATCTGTTTTTTGCGTTACTGTATTTACTTGCAGCGGTGTTACAATTAAGTTATTTAATCATAATTTCGTTAATTAGCTACCTACTATTTTCATTTTTTGGTATTGAAATACTGCAGAAAATATATTTCCAAATAAACAAAATTCGTAATGATATTATAAACAGCTTGTAATATAATTTTTTTAATATTTGATGATGACGATAAATTTATTTAATATACAAGGTGGGTTATTAGTACGTCGCGGAATGTAGATACAGTTTTTTTTTTGTATTTTGACATCCACTTATAGGTTTAATAATTAAAGATAGAAAGAAACTTTACAAATGTACGACTTTTCCTTTATTTCATTTGACATCAAAATTTGCTGGCATAAAATATATATGTTTAAAATTAAAAAAAATCATTAAAAAAATTAAAATTCATCTTTATGAAAATAACAAACAACGATTTTTATAACTAATCTTTACAACATAAGGAGAATACCTAAAAACGTAATAACATTAAAATACCTACAATTTTTTCAAATCAACATGCAAGTAATTGTGATGATACAGTTGAAAATATGTTTTAATTTACTATTAATTGCTTCAAAAACAAATTCAAAATTATCAAGCATTTCGTCCTGTATTTTTCTTTCAATACTTGTAAATTTTCAGGTCTTTAAAAAATATATATCTAAAGGACTGACAATAAGATCGGTGCTGTTTTCTGGCCACCTAAGGTTTCTAATAATATTTTTTAGTCTTCGTTGACGGGATTCTTCCTCCAAAGTAAATTTGCCAATATTCCTGAAGAACTTTTGGCATTATTGTTATTTGAATAATACAGTTAATTATGTTTTATTTTTCGTCATCAGAATAACCCATTGTAATTTTTTAAATTTTTTAAATTAAAATGGGTTATTCTAATAATGATAAATCCCGTGTATTTTTAAAAGAAGGTTCGTTTCTGTCGTTTTTGTGTGATTGTGTGCGAGAGAGATAGAGTTATAGTGTCCGATAGAGATAGAGTGACTCTCTCTTTCTGCTGTTTTCGGCCCTAGCAATTTCAGGACACCTAGGGAAGGAGCGTCGGGTAGAGCGCGTGGCCTTCTTAGCCTTCGTTGTCGATCTATGATGTCACACAGTATAAGAAAAAAAAAACGGTTTTTGCTCGTAACTCGGAAATGGCTGGAAATATAAACAAATTTCCCCTTGGTTCTGAGTAGAGCACTCGGTGGGTGACGGAGAGCGGGGTGTCACAATATATGAAGAAAAAAAAACAGTATTTGCTTGGATAAAAAAGTGTTTATAACTCGGAAACGGTGTGTTCAATCGAAAAAATAATTGAGAAATCTCCTTATCTCGAAAAACAAAAAAGTAAGTCAAAAATTGCAACAGCAGTAGCGAACGCATTATCTTATCTCTGTATTGATTGATGATTTGTTGTTTTTTTTTTAATAAATTTCGTGTTCAACTACCCCTTAAGGTTCCAGCAATTTTACATTGTGTTAATTTTTTTGAACACCTTGTGTCACAAATATGAGCACTACCAATGGCATCCATGATATGCAACACTTGTGTCAATAATTATTTTACCTATCTAAAGAAATTAACAATAAGAGAGCAGTACCCATCTAAGGATACACAACCTGTATAATGTAATTTTTTTAAACTTGATTTATTTTA